CAGCCAGAACTCCGAGTGAGGATAAGGCCCTCGGACTGCCTGATACTCTTGAAGACTGTGTGCGTCTGAACTGGGGTTTGGAGCATCGTATGACCCCTGCTACGTTTATGTTGATTGGCCTGCAGTGTTTGGACAAGCTACGTAGTGACCCGGACCTACTTCTGCAATCAGTGGACCAAATTCAGTTCCGTAAAAGTAACACAGAAATTAAGGTCGTAATTGATCCAGAGTACACGAAGTACCCCGGTGCCACAGAAACGGTAACGCGGGAGTGTTTGATGGAGCAGGTGTTGTCCCGGCTGGCAGCATTTGTGTCCGAAGACCAGGAGTACCCCGCAGAGGTAACGACCCTTTGGAAACGTCACGCCACGAACACGCGTCACGCCACGAACACGCGTCACGCCACGGACACGGTGGCTACCATGGACTTGCTCGGTTTAGGGGAGGAGAACGCCCTAACGACGCTGGACACGATTGAGACGGAGCTTCGGGCCGCCTATGAGAAGCTGAATCCCAAACCTGGCAACCATTGGCGAGGCGTGTGCCGGCCGCGGGTAGGTCTTGACCAAAACCACCAGGTTTCGGTGGTTCAAGAATTCCAAGGTGAACTCTGTGAGGAGTGTCGACCACGGCAGTTCCTGAACCTACAACCACCTAAGCGGATTAAGAGCATCATGGAGGATACAGCTTCTGCACCTAGCATACTCCCGAGTGCCGGAACGCGGCGTACTTGGCGAGATGTCATGAACCAAGCCGAAGAACGCGTGTGTGCGGACGCGCGTGCAAAGAATGTCAAAGTCTTCAGACTTCCGATCCACTTGACATGGACGGTTTGGAAAGGGGGCTATATACCAACGATGGAACGGACGTTCAATGATCAACTTAAAAATGGCTATCTCGTACAACTTCATGACTTGCTCGAAATCTACCGGCTCACAAACGAGCAATGTGACAGTCTCGTGAGACAACTCCGAGAACACCTTGATCGTATCTCCAAGTACCATCTTGGCGGCGAGAACTGTTGCATCGGCTCATACGCACAGGTGTATCTCACTTTGGATACACAGAGGTACCGGATCTTCGGCGCCCCTAGGAACAAACTTCGTGTCGCCCTCACTCCAACATGCATGAAGGCCGCCTCCAGAAAACAAGCACGCGATGTCACTAACGAATTCATAAACAAACTCCGTGTAGATTCCGACTACTCACGAAAAGATGTCTTGCATGCCCTAGCCCCCAACTTGTTCAAGTGAAATAACTATGTGTTCTCTAACTATGTGTTCTCTAACTATGTGTTCTCTAACTATGTGTTCTCTAACTGACGTGTGTTCTGTACGTGGAAAATGGCATGGCCGGGGACCCGACGGGTTGGGGTCGTTCATTTACATCCCTCCCTTCAGGGTCACAGGTTGCACCACTTGGAGGTATTTTTGAACTCGGCCTTGGAACTCGAGTGGCCTTGGAATCCGTACGATGGCCGTCAGAGGTTTAATGGCCGTTCCGGTCCCCAGGGAAACGATTTTTTTAGAGACTTGTGGGATGTGGAGTTGCAGGGCTGTGTCTACGGAAGTGTCGTCTCCTTTGATTGTAACGTTATCCGTAAGTCTCCTGGGTTGTGGAAACAAGTGTGCGGCCCTGGAGGGTCAAGGTGTGTTTGCAGCGAAGTTCTCTGCAGCCCGGTCACCAAGACAGGACGAAATCCTCGGGTTGCCGCCGGCTCTTGAAGACTGTGTGCGTCTGAATTGGGGTTTGGAG